AAGAAGAAGAAGAAGAAGAAGAAGAAGAAGAAGAAGAAGAAGAAGAAGAAGAAAAAGAAGAAGAAGAAGAAGAAGAAGATAATAATTATTGTATTCACGTAGGACATCCATGCAGTCAATCACACCATTAATATGCAAACCAATTTTTTTTTTAACAGTCAGTGTGAAGTGTGTTGAATCAATCTGCCAGGCACCTGGATGTGCTGATTCCCCGTCTTCTGGGTCTGCCGCTTCGTCTGCTGGTGCTACAAGGCCTCCCTGGCTCAACGTTCTCGTGGTTGATCTCGATGTTGAAATGTCTGACGTAGTCTCCACCAGCTGGTCCGTGCATCCCGGCTCTGTTGTCTGGCCACCCTCGCCGTTGTCTCCCGAACTCTCTGGATGTGGGCTAGTTGAAGGACCTGGACAACATGGGCGGAGTGAGAAAGTTAAAGTTAGTTATTGGTAACAGTTTTACAGCACTTATAACACTTGATTACTTGATTACTTGATCCTGGGAACAACATCATACCACACTTGGCATTGCCATTTGTGCTCCACTCCCCGCTCCAATATTCGCCCCAGAGTTCATCTGCTGATCGTTCCGGTGTTTATTTGGTTAATAACATTTATAACACAATTAGGTATATAAATGCCGAGGATGAGGGGCTTTACTAGAGACTTTTGCATTTAGTTTTAGTAAGAGTATTACGGCACTTGTAGCACAAATTGGTCATATTAGTACTGAGGATTAAAGGGGTTATTGAGGAGGGGTTGTTTTTTTTGGTTTTATTAAAAGTATTACGGCACTTGTAACATAGGTTTGTCAAATAAATGCCGAAGACTAGAGATATTTCTAGAGAGTGAGTTCTCGTGTCCTGAGACTACTGAGAGGCAGCTTTATCATTGGGGCTTAGATCTTGATTCGCCGCACTGTGCACTTCTGAACCGAATGCAGGGGACGCTCACTCACCACAAAGGGTTGTTTACGCTGATTTGTTACGTCCATCAAACTCACGGAGATTTTGAACGCAAAGAAATAAGAATGAGAGATGGGGATAACAGATGTTTGATAGGATAGAAGGAGCAAACCATACTAAAGAATCAGCCAACCGCACAGACATGAGGACAGTGGAAGAGGGGGAAAAGGGAGTATGTTGACGGTGACGATGAGTGTGTCAATAGGGATGAGTCTAATCGAGGTGGTATTCCGTTCCCCTTGCCCCCCCCACCCTTTCCCGGCACTCAGCACTCACCAGCCACGTTCTTGCAGTCTCCGTCCCCTCTGTCTTGGCCACAGATCCCGCCCTGCACAGACCCGTCCGCCCCCGATGACCTCTCGCCGACATCGCCAGCACACAGAGACTCCCGCGGGAAGGGTTTCACCGAGAGAAGCCCCCCTGATGGGAAAGAGCCCGCTGAAACCTCAGAAGCCGACCTGCCCGGGAGGTTCAGAGGCGCTAGCCGGGCTGGGTGTGGGCGAAAGTCTTCAGCTTTCCTCTCAGACATCGATAAGGCCGGTTCAAGGTTGCAAGATCGTGTTTCCATCGCAGCTGAGCGTAATGGAGGTCGGGGATGGTCGGCATCTGAAGGTTTGTCTTCCAGGTCTGAACTCGTGCGTGACGTTGTGTCTATGACTTCTTTCTCTTCACAGCCTGGGCTGGCCGGTGGTCTGGGTATGGCGTCGTCCCCATCGTTGACCGTCACAGCCGATGATTTCACACTGGCGTTTTCGTTGGAAAATGTTGCGCTGGGGTTAATTACGGAAGATTTTTGAGAGGATTTGGATCTACTGCTTCGGCAGGAAGAAGGTCTGGATCCGCTTTTACTTCTGCAAGGTGGTTCTTGTGGGGGAGATGGGAGTTTGTACGTCTCAACACCTTCCATTGATGCGTTGTTCTCAATAAGATCAAATTGTTCTGGGCTCTTGACCTCTCCGCTTCCTGACATGAGGACCACCTCGTTATCCTCCTCCTCCTTTTCCTCCTGCTCCTCCTCCTCCTCCTGCTCCACCTCCTCCTCTTCCTCCTCCTCCTCCACCTCCTCCTCCTCCTCCTCCTCCTCCTCTGTGGGCAAAAGACGCATCTCTCCTGCGTCAAGGTTGGAGCTGTTGTTTTCTTCCTCACAAGCGGACAGCGAGACGTCCTCCTTTTCTGACGATGACTTTGTATGTTCATCGAGAATTACTCGTGTTGCGTTTGGGTAGGTAAATATTTCTTCCTTAAACACATCGCTGTTTTCTTTTGTCGGACTATTTTCGAGTCTGCTGTGGTAGCTTTCCACTTGCAAGCACTTTTGTTGCGCTTGTCTACGTTCACAAAAAAGGTTCGTGTCATTCTCCTTGTCTCCAGGCAGGTTATTATTCTCGTTCGTTTCTTTTTCGTCTTGCAAGGAACTGACTTCTGTTGACTCGGTTGGCACGCCGGCGGTTGTGGCTTGGTCTTTAGACGGTGACAGCTTAATGAAAACCACGTGATCAACTTCCACTCTTTGTTCGCCTACTCTTTCCGGTGCAGGCTGGTCGGTTTTGCTTATAGACACACCGATATCGCTGACCAGAGCGTTGTTCGTCTCCGACTGAGGCAGCGAGCTTTCAACAGGTTCCGCCACGTTGGGATTTAAAATCTTCACGTCCTCGAGGTCATCGAACTCAGGAGAGGGAGTCCTCGCGTCCTGACAGGCGTCTTTATCATCGGAGCTTAGATCTTGATTGGAAGCAGCGTACATTTCTTCAGAGTTCAAGGCAGGGGACTGTCTCTCGCCGCAAGGTTGCGTTTTCACGGATGTGTCACGTCCGTCAAGTTTCAGCGATGTTGAGCACATAGAAGTAGCGTTCAATGTTTTATTTTCAACTTCTTGTTTTAAATTCAGAGGGAAATCCGTTTGCAGACTGTTGATATGGCTAATTCTTGGAGATGTAGATGTTGGATAACTTCTAGAAAAAGTTTTGTCATCTTCGGTTGCTTCGGATATAGCTTTGGAATTAACCGAATTTTGTAAAGATTTAGAAGTCCCGGATAAAGAGAAAATGGGTGGCAGGGGAGGTAGTTTTGAATGAATCCCTACAGGTGTTAGGTTTGAGCGAGGTTGGTTGCCTGCTGGTCGCTTTGCATGTAGCGATGGCAAAAGTAACATTTCATCAGATCTGCAGCTGACTTGAGGTGGGACTGGGAGTTTTATTTCTGGAAGTTTGGGAACATTTTTAGAATCACCAACAGTTTCTCTCTCGGGTGATGGCGCAGGTGTGCCTTGGCAAGGGGATACAACTGGCTCTGGGTCCTCCTTATTTTCCCAGGAAACAGGAGTTGGGGTTCTTCTCCTCCGGGTGAGCCGGATATTTGGGCGGAAAAGAAAACATGAGTGTGTATTTCGTTTGGAACTCGGGTTTGGGGTCAATATACGTTCCTTCTCGGTACATACTTCTGGAGAGACCACTGTGTTGACATTTGCTTCGCCATCACCAATATTCTCTTTGCGATTCGGCGGGTCGCCACTAGATCGAACACTGGAATCCTTACCTTTAATTTTCCCTCGCCTTCTTGCCAAAGGCTTCACCACCGCTGACCCCATATCAGAAAACTGCAAAAACCTCCTGAGAACAGAGGCCCTATAGATCTACACAGTTGTATTGTGTCTCCATGATGCATTTCACACAAAGGTCAGAACGGTACTGTAAACCTTAATCAATTTAAAATTTTGACTTGGTTCCAGAAGAAATACCGGGGATTGCATTGCATGACATATTCCATACCAAACACAGTTGTCAACGCAACTAAATATGTCTATTTCAGCCCCGATCTGATCTTAGAAAACTAATAAGCAGTCTTCCTTACTAAAATAAGAATACTGCATCACCGCTCGAAAAAACAAGGTTTTACGCTTCTAAAGCGGAAGTTCAATGTGACGTCATGCCTTAGAGCTTTCAATATAGCGTCTCTTCCAAAACGCATGCAAGGTTCGAGATTAATTGGGGACAACCCCGAATATTCATGACGTCAATATAAAGAAATAGCGCAAGGACATATACCATTATTATATAAGTAAAAATTAAGCAGGCCAGCACGATCATCCTCGTGTTACCCAAGTTGAAATAGATACCTCGCGATAGACAGCGAAATATCTTTGTCCGTTTGTTTGTGATTGCTCAGCTGCAGGCACTGTTTACTGCATGTTTATTGAGAAGCCTAGAATGTGTCTGGGTGACTTAGGGTCTTCTAGGGTCGTACTGAATTGCAAAGCACATAAAAATTGCTGTTGAGTGGGGATAAGCGCTGTATAAATGGTACTTAATAGAATTTTCACTATTGTTTTCATTATCAAAACCAGTATTATTATTATTAGCATCATTACTAATCTACTATTATTAATATTATTATTAATATTAGTACTAGTATCATTATCATTATTATTATTATTATTATTATTATTATTATTATTATTATTATTATTGTTATTATTATAATTATCATTTTCATTATCATTATCATTATCATCATTACTATTATTAGTAGTATATTAGCATTATTATTATATTAGCATTATTATTATCATTGATATCAATTATTTCTATTGTTATTATAATTATAATTATAATTATTATTATTATTATTATTATTACTATTATTATTATTATTATCATCATCATCATTATCGTCAGCATCATTGTTATTAGTATTCCTCCTCTTCCTCTTCTTCTACCTCTTCTTCCTCTTCTTCTTCTTCTTCTTCTTCTTCTTCTTCTTCTTCTTCTTCTTCTTCTTCTTCTTCTTCTTCTTCTTCTTCTTCTTCTTCTTCTTCTTCTTCTTCTTCTTCTTCTTCTTCTTCTTCTTCTTCTTCTTCTTCTTCTTCTTCTTTTTCTTCTTCTTCTTCTTCTAGCACACACCTAGAGAACAATCGCCTAGATGAGAGACCCTTATCTCCATTGCACGATTATCAAAAGTCGTGACCTCACTGTTGTGCAAATACCATGATGTTTAATGTAGGTGTTATTACGCTTCCGTCGACACAAAAATTGTTATATTATGCTTTAGGAAGCTCGCTTCAACTCTGCCTGTCAGTGACAGCGAGGTGCACTATTGCCAAAAACTCTACTCACTTGTGAATCGAACTCGGGTCTGCTGCATTTGATAACGAAGTGTACAGTTGTTAAGAGGTCTATCCACTAATCAATCGAACTCGGGTCTCTTGCATTTGACAGCGAAGTGCACGATTGTTAAGAATTTTACCCACTTGTAATCAAACTCGGGTCTGCTGTGCTCGATAGCGAAGTGCGTTAACCGCTACAGCATAAAAGTATGTTATAGACTGATGTGTGACTCAGATTAATGCAGTTTGCCAATGAAAACTAGTTGTACGTTTTCAGAAAATTCATTAAAACAAAGAAAGGTAAAACCAAAAGCCTCAACAGAAAGTAATGTTCTATCTCTCGTAGCTTGGCAAGATCAGTACTACTCTTCTTCTTCTTCTTCTTCTTCTTCTTCTTCTTCTTCTTCTTCTTCTTCTTCTGTGATCTAGTCCACAACCAGCAGTCAGTGAGAAGAGTTGTCCAAGGGACATAACAAGATACATTCTGTTTTCTTTTGTTGCTTCCCTTGAACACTATTTACCATTTTGTCCAATTATACCAACATTAGGTTATCCGTGCCAGACCTGGACCTTAAGCAAAACCCATTGAAAGCAAAATCACCGCATGCGAAATGAAATGTCTCCGCAAAACCCTTAACATCACAAGACGAGACAGGCAGAGAAATGAAAAAGTAAGAGCAGCTATCGGCACTGAGTCCTGCCTGCGTTACATAGAAAGACAGAGGATACAATGGTTTGGCCACCTGTTACGCGTGTCACCTGACCAGACAGCTTTGAGAGCCTACAACACCAAGCACTCAGGCTATAAAGGAAGAGGAAGGCCACGCAAAAGGTGGATCGAGGGTGTCAAGGAAACCCTACGAAAACATAACACCACAACTGAAAGAGCTGCGGAGCTGGCTTACCATAGAAAACTGCATCTCCCCTCGACGCTTAACGGCAATAGAGGATGAAAAAGTCAGTAAGTAAGTCCAATTTAGACACGAAGTTCACTTTCACAGAAGCTGGTTACAAACATTAATTCTTGTGTGTTAGTGGTCTCTCGATGTGTTGTTCAAGGTGTCTGGGAGTTTCTATAGTCTGTCCGTCTGTCTGTCTGTCTGTCTGTCTGTCTGTCTGTCTGTCTTTCTGTCTGTCTGTCTGTCTGGATATCCACTTACGTCAAACATATTATTATCGTAAATTAATCTACTCGGCACCAACAGTAGATGCACTCCTATGTCATGTCAACCGGCAATTAACGAACTGTTAATAGAAATGATTGTTATTGCTATTTTACTTTTTTTATATGGAGAACTTAAACTATAGCACTCAGAATTACCTTTATAAAACTGACGTTATTTAATACAATTCAAGACAGCTCTCTCTTTCT